ACATCGCTACAGACGCCGGGGAAAACGTGCTGGGCGGCTGGTAAAGCTTAAAGCCTTGCGTGCTGCATCTTCCTCTTCAGCTGGTGGTCAGGGTTTCCATCGCCAGTTTCCCACGTGCCCGGACCAGGTAAACAACAGAGGGGCTGTTATTGAAAACCTGAGACCATTGGCACGTGCTAACTTCACTGCTGCTGGCTCCACTTTGAACAGTATCCGGATGTGTTTGGTCAACGCAAGATCTATTACCAACAAAACTTTTATCTTAAGGGACTACTTTCAAGAGCATGATTTGGAATTTTTCTGCATCACAGAGACTTGGATGTCTCCGGGTGAGTCTAGCGCCTTGATGGAATTATTGCCACCGAACTGTCTGTATTTTAATGCACCGCGGCCATCAGGCCGGCGCGGTGGTGGATTATTAACAATATTCAAATCAACTTTTGACTGTAAACAACTGCCCATCCCAGTTTCCCGTGCCAGATTGGAGCTGAGCGTCTTTGAACTCGGCCATTCACCTTCAACTTTATGCGCACTCGTCTACCGCCCACCTGGATCTAAGGATTTCATAAATGAGTTTTCTGATTTCTTGGCTGAAATCACACCAAAATATAATCATGTTTTCATTACTGGGGACTTTAATTTGCATGTGTACTGTCCTGAGAAGCCCTTGGTTAAGGACTTTTTAGATTTATTGGACTCATTTAATCTAACTCAGCATGTAAACGGTCCCACCAAAGAGTGCGGACATACACTGGACCTTGTTTTAACTCAAGATGTGACTGTTAGTAATCTTGAAATTGGTGATAATGTTTTTTTCAGACCACATGCCAGTCCGGTTTTAATTCACCCTCCCCCATCTAACTCCTAAGCTGTGCATTCCTGCACATAGTAGCCGGGCCATTAACCACTTCACTGCCGCACGTTTCACAGATGCTTATAACTCTGAAATGATCATTCAGCCCCCGGTGTTTCTCACCACCACTGAGGAGCTGACATCCCAGTTCAACTCTGTCTGCTTAAAGACTCTGGATCATGTTGCTCCTGTTAAAACTAGAAAATCAAAACTCAGAGCAGAACCTTGTCTGAGTGACGTCACCAAGGCCGTTAGGCAGCAGTGCAGGAGGGCGGAGCGCAAATGGAGGAAAGACAGGCTGCAGGTCTCTTTTCAAATACTTAAAGAGAGTTGGCGCCGTTATCAGAAAGCAGTAAAAGCTGCTAAATCCAAATACTTTTCTGATAGCATAACCTCAAACTCTCACAACCCACGTGTCCTCTTCTCTACCCTAAACTCTGTTCTCCACCTCACTGAACCATCACCTCTGGACGCCTCGACTGAGCTGTGTGAGAACTTCTTACATTTCTTTTTGGAAAAAATTGCGACCACCCGGGCTCTCATTTTCCCTCCAACTCATGGCCCATCCATCCCACCTCAGTCTGTAGCTCTATTTGACCATTTTGAACCCATCACTCTATCTTCTCTAGAGCAGGTCATGTGCGGCTTGAAACCTTCTGGTTCCCCTTTTGATGTGGTCCCCCCTCGACTACTAAAGGAGGTTTTTCCTACTCTAGGTCCATCCATTCTTACTATAGTAAACAGTAGTTTATCCACTGGCGTGGTGCCAAAATCCTTTAAACATGCTGCTGTCCAGCCTCTCCTGAAAAAAACAAACCTTGATCCCTCATTTGTTTCCAACTTCCGGCCTGTCTCCAAACTCCCATTTGTTTCTAAAATACTGGAGAAAACAGTTGAGTCCCAGTTGAAGTGCTTCCTGGAGGATCACGCCATCTTAGAGCTATTCCAGTCTGGCTTTAAACCTCTCTACAGCACTGAAACTGTCCTGCTTAAGGTTTTTAATGACATCTTCAGATCCACAGATACTGGTGATTCTGTGCTGCTTGTCCTATTGGACCTCACAGCCGCCTTTGACACCATTGACCATGAGCTCCTCATTGCTAGGTTAGAGCAGTGGGTGGGCATCACAGGGTCAGCCCTCAATTGGTTCATATCCTACCTCACTGACAGATCCTTTTGTGTCTCCATCAAGGATTTTAGTTCTGCAGCGACAGAGCTTAAATGGGGGGTTTCTCAGGGGTCCATCCAGGGTCCCCTCCTATTCTCTCTATACCTGCTGCCACTTGGTGCTGTTTTCCGGAAACACAACATGCCCTTCCACTTCTATGCCGACGATTGTCAAATTTACTTCCCCCAAGACACAATGGTACATGCTCTATTCAACCTCTGCTCGACTGCCTGGCTGACATCAGGGACTGGATGGCTTTAAACTTCTTAAGTTTCAATGAAAAGAAGTCTGAAGTCATGTTGTTCCCTCCCAATGACACGATCACAAACCACTGCATCGACCTTTCCACTCTATCCCTGTCAGAAAAACAAACAGTCACTAATCTGGGTGTGATAATGGAGCTTTCCCTGAAACTTAACAGTCATGCAAACATGATTGTTAAATCATGTTTCTTCCAATTGAGGCGGCTGTCTAAACTGAAGCCCATATTGTCCAAAAATAACCTGGAGACAGTAATACATGCATTCATTACATCCAGGCTTGATTACTGCAATTCACTCCTGTTTGGTATCAGTCAGACCTACATTGCACGACTACAACTGGTCCAGAATGGAGCAGCCCAATTTTTAACCAGTACAGGCAAAAGAGAGCACATTACTCCAGTTTTGGCCTCACTGCACTGGCTACCGGTTCACCTTCAAATCCAGTTCAAAATACTCCTGTATGTCTACAAATCGCTGAACAGTTTCGTCCCCCCATCTCTCTGATCTGTTACAACCGTATGTCCCACCATGCTCCCTGAGGTCAGCGGACCAGCTGCTCCTCACAGTGCCAGGAACTCGTCTTAAGTGCAGAGGTGACAGGGCCTTCTCTGTAGCAGGACCAAGACTTTGGAACGAGTTACCTCTGCTTGTCAGACTGGCCCCCTCCCTCTCGGTTTTCAAATCCTGTTTACAAACTGACTACTATTCAGTAGCTTTCAACACCAGAAGATCTGTGTTTTGAACCTGTACGCTCCACACTGGTTTGTCGTCATATTTATTATCTGCATCGTTTTTATGTCTATATTTTTTTATTTATTTTTTTTCATTTAGCCTTTATTTATCCAGGTTAGTCTCATTGAGCCACGAGAACTCATTTTCAAGAGAGACCTGTTTAGGGAGCACATGGTGGGGGTTAAGGGCCTTGCTCATGGGCCCAGAGTGGGGCGAATGAGGGTGGGGGCAAGTGTGGGTGTTTCACCTACCCCACCCACAATTTTGATGTTGTCGGGGCCGGGGCGTGAACCGGCGATCTTCGGATCACAAGCCCACCTCTCTAACCTCTGCGCCACCACTCCCCCATTTCCCCCACTTCATTTTGTATATTGCTTCGTGTGTTGTCTGTTGTTCTGTCTATACAGCACTTTGGTTGGCCTTGTAGCTGTTTTAAGTGCTCTATAAATAAAATGGTATGGTATGGTATAGGTATAGATAATGTTTCAAAATGAACCAGTCCTAATGTTGTCCAGATGCAACAAATAAATAAACTATACATTTTAAATTTTAAACTGTACAAAGAGAATAATGGTTTTATAAATCATAAACTGTTTTCCATCCATCCATCCATTATCTTTTACCTGCTTCTTCCATTTTGGGTCATGGGGGTCGCCAGTGCCCATGTCCAGCAATCACTGTGCGAGGGGCGGGGTACACCCTGGACAGGTCGCAAGTCCATCACAGTACTGTTTTAATAAAACTGTTTTAATTTTAAAAAAATTAAGTAAGTAATTTTTTTTAATCATTAAAAATAATGACCGACCACCAAGAGTCAGGAGTAAGTTTGACTGAAAACAAGGCCTCATGTTCAGCTACTGGCTCTGAAAGGTCTTCACAAAACTCCAGAATGGAACTTTTATGAAATTGTCAAAAAATCATTTTGAGTTTACTAATGGGGGAAAATGCCTTTTACTTTTTTATTTATTTATTTATTAAAAAATGACCGTAAAACAAATATTTTCTTGATTAAAAAAATATATATGGTGGAATTTGAAAAAAAAAAGAAAAAAAAAATCCCATTAAAGAGTTAAAAATATATAAAAGAAGTAATTTAGCATTTTTTCCCCCAGACTGAGTTAACTCTAAAAGATTGAGTAGTTGATTACAGGTGTTATAGTTTGGTGGCACAGAGATTAAAGAAGGTTGCCGGATCAACTCCCCAACCGACAAAATCAAAATGTGGGTGGGACTGATGAAGCACACACACACCTGCCTCTCCACCCTCATTCTCTGGGCCCTTGAGCAAATTCCTTAACCCCCACCATATGCTCCTTGACAGCAGTTCTCTGCTCAACACTGTATGAGGTTCCATTAGTGCCAAAAATGTTTGTGTCTATGTAAAGTGTGTATGTAGCGTGCTGTGTATATGTAAGGTGATATGTTACTTCACATATATGCTTAACATATCACCTTACACAGCATGCTACATACACACGTTACATAGACACAAACATATTTTTGGCACTAATGGGACCTGATACAATGCTCTGCTCCAGGCAGAGGGGCTGTGGTAGCTCAGTGGTCTGTGGCTGTGTCAGGAAGGACATCTCGAGTAAGTTTTCTGTGAGTTCGCTGTGGCGACCCTTGAAGAAGGGCAGCTGAAAAAAAGTTTTTAAACAAGGTGGTTATTTTCCATTAACTGATGAAGTGAAGATGAAGTGATGAAGTGAAGATGAAGTGATGAAGTG